TTGCTGAAAACTAGTGAAACTGAATTATTTTATATTTTATATATTTTATATTCAAAATAATCTTTATTCAAAATTATCTTTGTTAGTTTTGCAATGATGGATTAATCTGATAGGGTTTTGTTGAGCATTCTCTGTTGGGGCCTCCATGTGCTCAGTTGATATCTTGTATTTTGACTTTAATACATTACAAAATTTGTTGCATTTATTTTCATTTGAGATGATCATTATTAAGTAATACAGTCACACAATTTTAAACAGGATTTCTATATGATTCTTTATGTTTCTGGAAGAGAAAAACAAAAATATTGCTTATGCGGCCCGCAGACTTCTCTCACGTGAAATCCAGCCTTTGACACCAAAAAAGGTTGGACCACCCAGGTCTAAGCTGACACTCCAATGCAGCACTGGAGTGCGTTACATTGTTGGAGGTGTTGTTCTTTCTGATGAGACATTATAGCAAGGCCCTATCTGCCTGTTCAGGTGGATGTTAAAGATCCCATGGCATTATTCGAAAAGCTAACAATCCAACAATCCCCCAAATAAAATTGGTCATTCACTTTATGGCTGTCTGTGTGACATTGCTGTGTGCAAATTGACTGCCAAGTTTGCCCACAAAACACATATATACACAAACATTGCACTTTACAAAATAAAGTGAAGCTCTTTGGGACATCCTCCCAGGATGCAAAATGTGCTATATCAAATATAAGGATTATTATTATTTCCGTGTGCATCTCGCCTGCTGCATTCGCCTGCAAAATTCTCAGCCTTTATGGTAAATCCTGTGAAACTCTTTGAAACCAGTTAAGGTAGAAGCATCGGGACGGACATTTTGTCCGACTTAATGTGGAATTGGAGCCAGGATACGAGATGTAATTTAGTCGCACAATGCAGGGAAATTGTAGGCCTAGTAACCTTGTGTGGGTGTGAGAATTTTTTTTTGCCAGCAGTGCAAAGGTTTTCTAAAACCCTTTCAGCATTCAATGTACACCAGGGTTTTTCTGGTACACTTTCCAATGTAAATGGTGCATGTTATAAGTGAAGCAGTATGGCTCGTATCAAACGTCCCGACGTGAAAGATCCTATACAAATGTAATTTTTAATTGTTATTTAACTTGTGTTTCGCATGTGCAATATACGATTTGGAATTGTAAATCCACATAGCTTACAGTCTGCTTGTTAGTTATTAATTTGGAAATCTGTTGGGGGTGGGGAGAAAGACAGGTTAGGAATTGCACAATCTTCTGCAGTTAAATCTTTATAAGTGCATAATTCATTTCTATCAAAATATAATTGAATCACGACTGACATGATGAGAAAGAATATGAATAAAGATTTGGGATTCTATAATGCCATCTTATGTGTATTTATCCAGATTCTGTTACATGGTCAAGCAGTACAGAACCAAGCTTGTAGAGTTTTGTTCTCATAAAGCAGGCATTCATGCAGAGAATCATACCGCACAGGTAGTTTATTTGAGTCACCTGAGCCTACATTAGATATTTATGTTATGCTTTACATCAATTCTCTAGAATAAAAGGAGAATTTAGAAAAGAGCTTGCCAGTCTTTTAATATACACTTTACTTAAGGGATTACAAAGATAACATCTGTTTGACTTATAAAGAAACACTATTATTTTTTCCATTCTACGCCAATGATGTAGCAGCTCATCGATACAACTGGCAAGCTGCAGAACCCTTTCCACAAAATTAATTATCTTGTCTGTGTCACGATTAAAGATATCTAAAGATTGCGTGCATGTGGGATTTCGTCTCCCACCTTTCCCAGGTCTAAAATGATGCACACAGGGTAGCCTTTTTGTCCGTTGAATTAAGCTCTTCAAAGCAGTGCTTTGAACATGCCCGTGTTGTTTAAGGTTATATTTGGATGGCTGCAAATGTCAGTCACTCAGCCATTAGTAAGCCTGGTGTGAGCACTGCTTACACTGGCTGAGAAGAAAGCAGTTGAATTGATCAAAGAGGATAAAGCTCAACTTACCTTTCCTGACAAAGGTCAGCAAGTTAAAAGACCAGTTACAGTTGTGTGAAAGCAGGTTATTTCTGTTCTATGAAATACTTTTGAACCGTAACAGTTTAACTGGTTTCTTCAAAAATTGCAATGTTTGGTAAAACCAAAATCAGTATGAACACGCTTTTTAAAAAAATCAATTTATAAAGTGTTACAATCTTGAATTATTAAGTCAGTTTGCACACGGTTGTCCTGCTGCATACACTGATCAAAGATAGTGTTTCCATTTAGAAACCTGACTTGTCTGACATTTGGACTCTGGCTTTTCCTGGAGGATGCACTTTAGCCTGGTCATTCAAAAACAGTTTAGCATAAATTAGTCCTGTTGAAATACACATTACATCGTTTACACAGTTGCGTATTGAAACTGACACACGTCTGATTTGGCTGTTCGCTCACCTGACATAATTATTTTTTGAAAACATTTTCATGGAAATAGTACCCTTCTGAGAAAATTAACAAAACCAGTTGTGCCTACCTCTGTCGTTACAGCTGAACTGTGTTTGTTATTATAATAAGAAGTTATATTTGATGGAGCGCCTTTCAAGTAGGGAAGATGTCGCAGAATACATTGCGAAGTGGAGTGATTGTGTGTATTGTTATCTCAGGATTTCACAAGGCGATAGTTAAGCAGATGTCTTAGGATCCCTGTCTATCCCGCTTTGTTGTTGATAATAATAATAATCTTTGCATTTGATATAGCGTCTTATCACATCGTCGAGACATCTCAAAGCTCTTCACAAGATATGTGGAAAGTGGATTGACTGTAATTTGTGGGCGAAACGTGGCAGCCAATTTGTGCACAGCGGTGTCCCACAGACAGCCATGGAGTGAAAGCCAATTTTATTTGGGAATTTGTTGGCCAGGAACCAGAAGAAACTTCCTCTCTTCTCAAATAGTGTCATGGGATCTTTAACATCCACTTGAACAGCCAGATGGGGATCTTTGACAACACAACCACAGCGCCGCATTGGAGCGTCAACTTTAGACTATGTGATTCCAACTGCTGTGCGCAATTTGCTGCCGTGTTTTGCCCACAAAATGTACAGTCAATTCACTTTACAGTATATTCTGTGAAGCGCGTTGAGACGTCTCGAAGACATGATCAAGCGTTATGTCAAACGCAAGGATTGTTATTATGGGATTAGAACCCATAGCCTTTTGACTCAGAGATAAGAGTGCTACCACTGCGCCAGGCTGACATATCAAGATGAGAGCAACTATAATTATGTATACCTGGCTTAGTTTTAGCACTCTCATCTCTGAGTCAGAAGGTTTCGGACACAAGCCCCTTGGTGGGATATGAATTCATAGTCTAGACTGACAGTCCATTGCAATTTTCATTGAAATTTTCAGCTGGATCCATTCAAATTTTCAATACTGAGATGGATAGATTTCGTGTGAGGTGAGGGTATCAAGGGATATGGGGCAAGGGCGGGTAATTGTGGTTGAGGTACAGATCAACCATGATCTAATAGAATTGCGGAACAGACTCAACGGACTGAATGGCCTACTCCTGTTCCTATGTTCCCAGTATTGGGGGAGCACTGCCATACCCTAGCAATGGGAGTCTTCTACTTTATCTGGCACTGTTATAACATCGTCTTGGATTCTCTTAAGCATGGTGATGGTTTTCCGCATGTTCAGACACCCAACTGACCAAAAAAATTGAAGATTGCAGTGGTCCTGTATTGATTTATCTGCCCTTTACAACAAAGTCACAGATTTATGTGTATTTGGGGACACTGAAGTCAGGATTGGGAAGTCAATGGACTTTAATTAACAGTGGAAGATCGTGATGTTTTCAGCACCCTCAGCAGTACGCTCGAGCGCTGTTGATGTGCACTGGCATTTTAAATCCTAATAAAATGAAGACGAGTTGCTGGTAAATTACATTTTGTATATTTTATTTCCTGTGGGAACAAACTGATTAACTTGTAACCAAGAAAAAAAAACAACCGCCATTTCATTTCACTAATGTTCACATTAAGATCACAGCTCACACAGATGTCACAAAATATCAGGGCAACTGTTCAGAGATTCAATGCTCTCTATGGAATTTACCCAGCTAAATTGTTTATTGTGTGTAACAGCATTGTGGTTTCCTTTGTGTTTGAGTTTAAATAATTTGTTTTGCTAGAAAGGTTTGGAAAGAGTGTAGAAACTACTGTTATAAAATACTACAGTGTAAACAAACCCATCATGTTTTGATGTTTAAGTTTCCTACTCTCCACATTCTATCTATCGGATCTCTTGCGACAAATGCATTGACTTCTTTGACTCATTTATACTGGTCTCCTTCAGTAATTTTCGCTGGAAATATATTCCACAGGTCTATTTCCATTTGATGTTTTAAAAAAACAAGTTCCATCTGATTTCCCTTCTTACTCCTGATTTGTGACTTGTGCGCCCAAGAATACTTCACCTCGGAGAACAATTTGCTTGGATCAAGACAATGGTTTTTCCGGGTATCCAAAGATAATTAGTGACTATTTTCCTTGGGGTCTTCAAGCTTTGGCTCTTGCCAACTTGTGCCTAATACTCTCCGGAATTAGATAAACAGGGTGCAGCCCTCCAAGGAGAGTCTGGTGTTCCATTCCAGACACAGGAATATCTGTGTGTCGGTGGCATCCATGGAAAACTGTTGGGTTTGGATACTCTTAAGCATGATGATGGGTTTCTGTATGTGTCAGACACCCATCTGACAAAAAAATCTTTTATGATCGTCGTTTTAAGGAGCTTGCCCAATCTTTTCTATTTTATTTAGGTTCCTTTTGATACCTCATCCCTTGTAAATGTGACCTTCACAGCATGTTTGGATCAAATCACCCAGGAGTCTTAAGTTATTTATATTAAGCTTTGAATTCAATGAGAATTTTAATATGTTACTGTATACAACACATGTTCATACTCTTGCTTAACTGACTCTTGCGTTTAGATTAGTGTGTGTAATTATTTTTTTCTTTTACAGGTAGCCTTTTTGAATCTGGATTAATGACTGTCATTTTCTGATGGGAATGACATTTGGATTAGGAGAAAAAGTGAATTAATTCAGAAAATCACAGGAAAGAAAATCATCTCAGAAGAAAAAATAGTGGATTGACAGAAGTGATTGAATACGCTTGCTGTGCAAGATAGTAATTTCATCACAGTAGTGACTCACCAAGGAAAAGACTACATTAAAGCATTGCATCTAGATTACCAAAAATGAAGTCACTGACTGGTATAAATCATTTATCAGGTTTGATATCTCCAGGGAAAATACATTATCACATGCAGAAATATGGTCAAGTTGGATATATTACCATGTAGGAATTATTTGGGAAGTGTTACAACTATCTTACATACTATTTCTCCTTACATCTCCAACCCTATTAGCTCTGAGTCTTCTTTAAAAAAATCAAATTGAACAGATTATAAATATTTACTGCTTTTCCTTTGTTTGCTACAATAATAATAATCCTTGCATTTGATAGAGCGCCTTATCACGTCTTTTAGACGTCTCAAAGCGCTTTACATAATACACTGTAAAGTGAATCGACTACTTTGTGGGCGAAATATTGCAGCTCATTGTGCATAGCAGTGTCCCACAAACAGTCGTGGATTGAAGTGATCAATTTTTTTTGAAGGAATTATTACCCCTGGAAAAGCGATCTGCCAATCGACTAACAACTGGTTCCTACATACTGCTAGGTAAACAGAGGCGTGTGGAGTAAGGAAACTTGCCCTACATTTCATCCTGCCCTGGAATTGAGCCACATGCTCTAAACACTGAGCTACAGCTATTTCCCTTCTTTACACCTGAGTGGCATTTATTCACTTTGCTCACTCACATGAACTAATGCATGAATAATGGTGAATGTCAGGGGGCTCCTTGATGGCGGGAGGGTGTCTTATCCTCTCCAGCACCACATTCCTTTCCAACAGGAGTTGCTAGACAGTGATCAGGAGAGGGACCTTGTTATTTCTCTCCTCAGATCACTAAATTGCCCTCAATGCCCTTAATCTGAAGAGAGAGGAAGTGGCTGGTGATCACTCTCCTGATCATTGTACTGAAGAGGACAAAATTTACTTAAGTGGCAATTTCTTCTCTCTTCTCCCCCCCAACCCTCCCCATCCTCCCTTTGGGTTAACATGCCTCTGCAGCTCTGTGTAGCTCAGTTTCACACAAGCAATGGTTTTGCCAGTGGAAAGCCACAATGTATATTAGTGCAGAGCAGCAGTTTTAGCAGAGGGCTGGTTAGTATGGGGCAATAATATTAATATCAGTGCCTTAGCCACATCTGCTTGGTGTTTCCTCTCTGTAGGAACGTATCCTGATTACCCAATTCAAGAGAGTATTGGTCCTGGGTTGGTGAGACCCAAGGCTTGGGGACTCCAGGAGTGTACTTTGGAATGCTGCAAGAGTATAATCAGCTAAAACCGCATAGCTTACCATTGATAGCACTGTCTGTTAGGCAAACTTCCCGCTGCTTGTGCAGCGAGGATCACCCTACTCGCTAGGGCTTCCAGGAATTGAGTGGGAGGAGTCCCTACTCTCATTGACCGATCTTCCCCTCCAAGCCCTACTGATGACCTGGGCCAATGGAAAAGTGCGGCCACATTTTTCCCATGGAATCCGCTATAAACAGTGCCCTCCACTATAAAACGGCTACAAAATGAAGTTTCTGGTTCCAGACCTCTCATGCTGTTTATCTGATACAACTGAGGGTGGAGTGGCTCCGGCTGCCCAGTACGGTGCAGTGCAAGCGGGAAATGGGCTTCACGATACTCAGAGGCCCCACTGCTGAAATTGGCTGTGTGTGTCTCTCTGTTTGTGAGTGTCTGCGTGTCTGTTTCTGTGTGTGTGTGTTTGTGGGTGTCTATGTGAGTGTCTCTCTTCTGCCTGTGTGTCTGTTTGTGTGTCTGTGTGAATGTATCTCTCTCCTCTGTGTGTTTGTGAGTGTCTCTGTGTGAATGTGTATATGTGTCTATGAGTGTGTCTCTGTCTCTCTCTGAGAATGTGTGTCTGTAAGTGTGTGTCTCTCTGTGTCTGTGAGTGTGTGTTTCTCTCTCTGTGTCTCTGAGTGTGTATCTCTCTGTGTGTCTAAGCATGTTGTGTCTCTCATCCGGAACATCTGTTTTTTGGTGGACCTCGAGGTCCTTCGGGCTTGCGCTAGTGTTCCCCCCGCGCCCCACCCAGTTTTGTTTTGCAACAATCTAGTATTTTATTTATAATAGTAATCATCCTTGCATTTGATATAGCAAGCCTTATCATGTCTTCGAGACGTCTCAAAGCTCTTCACAGAATATACTGTGAAGAGAATGGACTGTATATTTGCTAATTGCTCACAGCAGTGTCCCACAAATAGTCATGGAATTAAGTGACGTTTATTTCCTCATGTTTAGTTTTTATGAATACAATGGAAAATTGTAGGTTGGCAGTAACATAGCACCAATCAACTCCCCGCAAATTTCCAAATTTTTCCACAATTTTCGGCAAATACTTCCATACTTTTCTATTGGCCCAGCAGATGAGCTACACTAGCTGTTCTGCCATCAGCAGTGCCTGGACTACTGTGGACCACCTTGGCTCAGGAACCAGATGACAGAGATAAACACAGAGGGTTGACCTGATTTCAACATTCCAATGTCCTCCCCCCATCCCCCGGCCAAGATAGTCACAAGTTGAATATAAGAACATAAGAATTAGGAGCAGGAGTAAGCCATTCGGCCCCTCGAGCCTGCCCTGTCATTCAATAAGATCATGGCTGATCTATTCTAACTCCACCTACCTGCCTTATCCCCATATCCCTTAATCCCTTTATCCACAAGAAATTTATCAATCTCAGTCTTGAATATGTTCAAGGACTGAGCATCTGTAGCCCTTTGGGATAGAGAATTCCATAAATTCACTACCCACTGAGTGAAGAAATTTTTCCTCAACTCAGTGCGAAAGGGCTTACCCTGAATTTTAAGACTGTGACCCCTGGTTATAGTTTCTCCAATCAGGGGAAAAAGTCTCCCATTATCTATTCTGTTGTGCCCCTTAATAATCTTATAGGTTTCTATAAGATCACCTCTCATTCTTCTATATTCTAGAGAATATAGGCCTAAATTGCTCAACCTATCCTCATAACTCATCCCCCTTATCCCAGGTACCATCCTAGTAAATCTTTGTTGTACCCACTCCAAGGCGAGTACATCCTTTCTTAAATAAGGAGACCAAAACTGCACACAATACTCTGGTGCGGTCTCACCAGGGCCCTATACATTTGCCGCAAGACTTCCCTACTCTTATATTCTAACCCTTTTGTAACAAATGCCAACATACTGTTAACCTTCCTAATTGCTTGCTGTACCTGCAAACTAACGTTTTGCGACTAGTGTACAAGGACACCCAAGTCCCTCTGAACGCTAACACTATCTAGTCTCTCCCCTTCTAAAAAATAATCTGCTCTACTGTTTTTGCCACCTAGGTGGATGACTTCACACTTGCCTACATTATACTTCATCTGCCACATATTTGCCCACTCACCTAGCCTATCTATATCTTATTACATTTTTTTAATGTCATCCTCGGTGTTTACTCTCCCTCCTAGTTTAGTGTCATCCACGAATTTGGATATATTAAGTTCGATGTCTTCATCTAGATCGTTGATGTAGATTGTAAATAGTTGAGGCCCAAGCACTGATCCTTGTGGCACTCCACTAGTCACATCCCGCCAATACTGAGAAGGACCCGTTTATCCCTACTCTTTGTTTTCTTCCCGTTAGCCATTCTTCAATCCATGCTAATATATTCCCCTTAATTCCATGGGCCCTAATCTTGTGCACCTTATCGAATGCCTTTTGGAAATCTAAATACACTACATCCACTGATTCCCCCCTATCTAATCTTGATACGTCCTCAAAAAAATCTAAAAGATTTGTTAAGCAAGACTTCCCTTTTATAAAGCTATGTTGACTCTATCTAATCATATTGTGATTCTCTAAGTATCCCACTACGACATCCTTAATTATGGATTCTAGAATTTTCCCTACCACCCATGTCAGACTAACTGGTCTATAATTCCCCATCTTTTCTCTCCCACCCTTCTTAAATAGTGGTGTGATGTTTGCGATCTTCCAATCAATGGGAACCGTTCCAGAAACCAAAGAATTTTGAAAGATCAGACACAAGGCCTCCACTATCTCATGAGCTACCTCTTTTAAAACCCTAGGATGCAAACCGTCAGGTCCAGGAGACTTGTCACTTTTTAATGCCAACAATTTTCCTAGCACCAATTCTTTGCTAATGTAAATTTCCCTAAGTTGCTCCCTATCATTAGCCCCTTGGTTCATCTCTATTTATGGTAAACTTCTTGTGTCTTCTAACATGAAGACAGAAGCAAAGTATTTATTTAGTGACTTTGCCATATCCTTATCTCCCATTATAATTCCTCCTGTCTCTGCCTGTAATGGACCCACAATTACTTTTGCTAGCCTATTCCTCTTAATGTATTTATAAAACTCTTACAATCTGTCTTAATGTTCCTAACTAGCTTGCCCTCATAATCAATTTTCTCATCTTAATGATCTTTTTGGTTTTCCTTTGTTGGACACCATCAGCATCCAAGGCTGCACTCTCCACCTCTCAAAGCCAGTCAGGAACCTCGGCGCTTTGTTCGACCCTGAGCTGTCCTTTCTCCCTCACATCCGCACCACAACTGGCACCGCCTTCCATCACCTCCGGAACATCGCCAGACTACGGCACTACCTCACCCCTCACGCTGCTGAAACCCTGGTCCACGCCTTTGTCACCTCAAGGCTGGACTATGGGAACTCTCTCCTCGCCGGCCTTCCTGCCACCTCCCTCCACAAGCTGCAGGTCATTCAGAACTCTGCAGCTCGTGTACTGTCCCGCACCAGGGACCACATCACTCCCACCCTCGCTCGCCTCCACTGGCTCCCCATCCCCCAGAGGATTGATTTCAAGATCCTCATCCTCACCTACAAGGCCATTCACGGCCTTGCTCCCTCCTACCTCTCCAACCTACTATCCCCCACCTACCTGCCCGTACCCTCCGTTCCTCTGGCTCTGGTCTGCTCCACATCCCCCGCCCCAACCGCCCTACCATCGGTGGTCGGGCCTTCAGCCTCTCAGCCCCCAGGATCTGGAACTCCATCCCCCAGTGCCTTCGCCTTGCTTCCTCCCTTTCCTCCTTCAAGGCCGGTCTCAAAACCTTT